TTTCCTTGAAAGTTTTTCCCCCCCCCCCCCCCCCTTGTTTTGAGTCAGCCTTGTACTTTCCTATTAAAGTGATGCGGTGAAGGCGAGACGCCTTCAGACCGCCCTGCAAGGATGATCAAACAACCCGAGAGATGAAACGTCTGTTCTCTGTCATGAGATGAAGGTCCCTCAACGTGGGAAGCTTGGAGATGACTCTATACCTCCATGAATGAATGGAGAGGACCGTAGGTGTGCTGTGTCTGGGATCTGGACTTTCTAGAATAGACTGTACACCTTCATGAATGAATGGAGAGGACCATAGCTGTGCTGTGTCTGGGATCTGGACTTTCTAGAATAGACTCTACACCTTCATGAATGAATGGAGAGGACCATAGCTGTGCCATGTCTGGGATCTGGACTTTCTAGAATAGACTGTACACCTTCATGAATGAATGGAGAGGACCATAGCTGGGCCGTGTCTGGGATCTGGACTTTCTAGAATAGACTGTACACCTTCATGAATGAATGGAGAGGACCCTGGCTGTGCTGTGCTGTGTCTGGGATCTGGACTTTCTAGAACAGATTGTACACCTTCATGAATACATAGAGAGGACCATAGCTGTGCCGTGTCCGGAATATGGACATTTGAGGATAGACTCTACACCTCCTTTAATGAATGGAGAGGACCATAGCTGTGCTGTGTCTGGGATCTGGACTTTCTAGAATAGACTCTACACCTCCAAGAATGAATGGAGAGGACCATAGCTGTGCCGTGTCTGGGATCTGGACTTTCTAGAATAGACTGTACACCTTCATGAATGAATGGAGAGGACCATAGCTGGGCCGTGTCTGGGATCTGGACTTTCTAGAATAGACTGTACACCTTCATGAATGAATGGAGAGGACCCTGGCTGTGCTGTGCTGTGTCTGGGATCTGGACTTTCTAGAACAGATTGTACACCTTCATGAATACATAGAGAGGACCATAGCTGTGCCGTGTCCGGAATATGGACATTTGAGGATAGACTCTACACCTCCTTTCATGAATGGAGAGGACCATAGCTGTGCTGTGTCTGGGATCTGGACTTTCTAGAATAGACTCTACACCTCCAAGAATGAATGGAGTGGACCCTAGCTGTGCTGTTTCTGGGGATCTGGACTTTCTAGAACAGATTGTACACCTTCATGAATACATAGAGAGGACCATAGCTGTGCCGTGTCCGGAATATGGACATTTGAGGATAAGATTTTCTCTTTTTCTATTTTTTTGGACCTAATAGAAATAATTTCTCTGCTTTTGTTCTTCTCCATCTCTGTGCAAAGTGAGATTCCTTTGAGTGACATTGCACCAACTATGCAGCTAGTAAGGATGAGCATCGATTCTGTTATAGTGCATTTGTCTGCACCCCAGTTGATTGCTAGGACACGATTAACCCTGAGTTTGGTTTGCTTGGACAGATGGCTAACGGCAAATCGGCCAACAAGGAGGGTGACAATACGGTGGTGT